GAGAATTAAACTGAGAAATAGTTCCTTAGACAGCCTTATTACATAGGGGGACCCAAAGACTTCCCCCTACAAAGAAAAAAAAAAAAAACTATTTTCAAATAGTCTTAAATAAATGTGCTGATTTTTATCTGGAAGATATATAAGAGATTATAAGGCTTCACCAAATCTTGAAATTCCTTCAGTGCACTGTTGGTATTTTTTTCAGTATTAATTGCTAGGCTTCTTTTGTAATGGTCAAAATATCTTTAACTATAGTTTTTTTTTTTCCTGGTGGTTAAATAGACCTTCTTTGATCATAGTGAACATTTTCCCACACCTTTCTGCTCTGCTTTTTTTATCTTGATGCTGACTATAAATGTATAAATGTGGCAAAGTGAAGTCACCATCAACCTGTGTTGTAATTTTGATGACGGTTGCATTAAATCTGTAAATTGGATTTGGTAGGCTAGCCATTTTAACTATGAGCATGGGACATCTTTTCATCTCCTGATATCTTCTCCACATTCTTTCTTCAAATACTTGAAGTTTTTGTCATACAGGTCTTTCCTTCACTTGCTTGGTTAGAATACTCCCAAGACACTTTATATTATTTGATGCTATTATGAAGGATGTTGTTTCCCTGATGTCTTCTTCAATTCATTTGTCATTGTATCTGGAAAGCCTATTGGTTTTTTTCTTTCTTTCTTCCTTCCTTTCTTCCTTCTTTTCTTTCTCCCTTCATTCTTTCTTTCTTTCTCTCTCTCTTTTCTTTCTTTCATTCTTTTTTGTTAGTCTGCATTCAGCCACTTTGCTGAAAGCGTGTATCTGATGTAGGAGTTTCTTAGCAGAATTTTTAGAATCACTTATGTATACTATAATATCTTCTGCAAATAAGGACATTATGACTTCTCCCTTTCCAATTTGTATACTCTTGATCTCCTCCAGTTGTTTTATTGCTTTAGATACAACGTCAGGAACGTAATTGAATATATATGGAGAGAATGAAAACACCTTGTCTTGTTCCTAATTTTAGAGGAATTTTTTTGTGTTTCTTTCCATTTAACTTTATGCTGACTATAATCTTGCTGTAAGTTGCTTTTATTATGTTTAGGTAGGTCCCTTACAACCCTAGTCTTCCAAGACTTTTGTCAGGAAGACATATTGAACTTTGTCAAAGGCCTTTTCTGCTTCTAATGAGATTATCATGTGGTATTTTTCTTTCAGTTTGTATATATGGTGAGTTTATTTACTGATTTTAATATGTTGAACAATCTCTGCATCTATGGGATAAAGTCTACTTGATCATGGAGGAATGGTGGATGAAACAAAAAAAGATTCCTAATGATATTCTGCTATACTATAAATAAATGCATTACCCAGACATTAGTAGAGAAGGTTTTCTATGGCAACAGATTAGATTGGAAAAGATTCAGAGACCCACAGCCAGATATTATTTAAAAAAAAGAAAGTCAAAATTGGAGATTCATCAAATCCCACCCCTCAGAGCTCAGAGAGTTCCACAGAAGAGGAAGTAAAAAGAGTGCAAGAGCCAGAGGGGATATAGAACACGAGGGGAACAAGGCCCTCTGAATTAGCTAAGCAAGGTACATATGAACTCACAGAGACATGGGTCCCTGCATATATTATATAGCTTTATGTTGGTACTTTTATGGGACTCCTGATTATGATGATGATAGGGTCTTTGATTCTTGTGCCTGTTCTCAGGACTCTTTTCTTCCTGTTGAGTTGATGTATCCAATTTTGATACAGTAGTTTTGCTTCATCTTATTATACTTTATTTTCTTCATGTTCAGTTGTTCTCTTAGAAGCCCATTTTTTCCTGATGAGAGACAGAAAGGGAATTGATTTGGGGGTGGGTAAGTGGGGAGGAGTAGGCAGGAGAAGCTATAATCAGGATACACTTTTTGAAAAAAAATCTATTTTCAATAAAGGAAAATGTAAAATAAATTAAGTCATATGGTAGAAAAATAAGTTCGAAGGAAATCTAGACAACATGCCTCTCTTTAATTTTTCATGCTCTCTTCTGTTTAGCATTGTCTTACCACTTTTCTTGAAATACATTCAGAAACCTACACAATGCACTAACTTTTGTTTCAGCTACCCCAAAACAAAACAGAACAAAACAAAAACAATCAGAAAACTCAAAAAAGAAGAAGAAGAAGAAGAAGAAGAAGAAGAAGAAGAAGAAGAAGAAGAAGAAGAAGAAGAGCTGTTATATTGTTTTTCTTGATACTTCGCCATCCCAGGCATTTTTTTAAATTTCTTTTCTTATGTTTGTTTTATATTTATTTACATCAGGTCTGAGAGTGAACACATTCTCTTAGTTTTTCCACTTTGTAACATCTTAATTTCTTCCTTGCTCCTGAATAATATTTTATCTAGGTATGAAGCTGTATATTTGATTTTCTTCTTTTACTAAAATGTCTTCTCTCTTCATTCAAAGTTCCATAATTTCTGATAGGAAACTATTATTTGCTTTTCTCTTAGAGGTAAAGTATCAATTCTCTCTCATTGCTCTGAAGAATTTTTATTTGTCCTGTTTTCAAAGAAAAAATAGTCATGATGTGTCTGCATTTATTTTATCTTTTTTTTTCCTGTTTAAGGGTTACTAATCTTGATTCTGTAGGTTTATATCTTTTAATAAATTTGAGTAAAATTCTGATGGAGGAAGGTCATTGGTTAATTATAAATAAACTGCTTGGTCCTCAAAGGTTAGAACATGGGTGGGTGGAGTAAACAGAACAGAATGCTGGGAGGAAGAGGAAGTGAGGTCCAACTCCTCAGACAGATGCCAGGCTCCTCTCTCCCAGGCAGCTCTGACCCAGGATGGATGTAGGCTGAATCTTTCATGGTAAGACCGGTGCTACATAGTTTATTAGAGATGGGTTGATCGGGATATGAGAATTAGCCTGTAAGGGCTAGAGGTAATGGGCCAAGCAGTGTTTAAAAGAATACAGTTTGTGTGTTGTTATTTTGGGGCATAAGCTAGCCAGGTGGCCGGGGTACTGGGGACGCAGTCCCACCGCTCCTATTACAACAAAATTCTGTAGTCATATTTTGATGTATTTTTAGCTCTCTTCTGGGACACCAATGATATGAAAGCTAGATCATTTGTTATAGTCCCTGAGACCTCTAAAACTCAATTCATGCAATTCATTTCTTAAATTCAACTTTTCATTTGCTATTCCTAGTGAGTGACTTCCATTATTCTATCTTCTAGCTCACTGAATATACCATCTGTGCCATCCATTCTGTTCTTGAGTCTATCCATTGAGCTGTTTATCTCAGTCATTGCTCTTTCAGATATGAAGTTTCCACTTGGTTGTTCATGTGTCTTTTAATTGTTTATGGAGATGTTTTGTCCTTTCTTTTGTCACCAGCACATTTTTATTGCTCATTAAAGCACTTTTTTTCTCTTTTAACATTTTAGATAATTTTGACAGTTTTGCAGTGTTGGTGACGGCATCCCTTGATGTCCACTGTTTAAAAAGTTCTGTTTGAGTTTTTCCTAGTGTTCAATATGACAAGTATATTTTGGTTGAAATCTGGACACTGTTGTCCAAGATTCTCAGTCTTTGGGCATCTCCTTTACTTTTTTAGTTGAAAGGTAGATGCTTGCTCCATTCTCCTGCAGCCAAAGCTTTGCTAACAGATTTTTAAAAATAACATCACCTAGACCTAATTTTATTATAGCATGTTTACTTTATGAAAAATCCATAGATCTGTTCATTTGAAAGATTGCCTGGCTCATGGAATAGTGGTTGTGCCCAACCTGCCCCAATGCATAAATTCAAAATAGACTTTTGTGTTGATTCGTAATATTGGCATCTCTTCAGTCTCCCAAAAAGCAGAGAAAATGATAATCTACTCTTAATGTTCACTTAATACACAAAGTACTTGAACCAGGGACTCCCAACAGCCATGCATCTAATATTAAGAATAAACAAATTAATGATCATAAGCCAGACACATTGGCTTAATGGATGATCCATTGTTCAAAACTAAACTGACTCTGGTGTCTAGGTTCTTTTTGTTTTGTTTTGTTTTGTTTTTTGTTTATCTGAGACAGAGTTTCTCTGTAGCTTTGGAACATGTCCTCAAGCTAGCTCTTGTAGCTCTTGGTCTTGAACTCACAGAGATCCGCCTGCCTCTGCCTCCTGAGTGCTGGGATTAAAGACATGTGCCACCACTGCCCAGCATAGGTGCTTGATTATTAGAGACTTGGGATGCTTGGAATATTTACTTAGTGCCCCAGATTGAAAAATACAGTATTCCTTCATCCAGAAAGGGGCTGGCCTCCCATGGGAGTCAACAAAGCAGGGCATATCAAGTTTAGAAAGGACAGTGTTCAACCTCTTGCATCAAGGCTGGCCAAAGCATCCAAGCAAATTAAATAAGTTCCAAAAAGCCAGCTCATGTGCTAAAGGCAGGTCCTGAACCCACTTCTAGGTGCCCCACAAACATATCAAGCGACACATCTGTCACCCACATGCAGAAGGCCTAGGTCTGTCCCATCCAGACTAGCTCCCTAACTGTCAGTTCAGAGTCCCTGAGCTACCAGGAGCTCAGGTGGACTGTCTTTGTGGGATTCCCTGTCATAATCTTGACACCACCTTACTCACACAATTCCTCTTATCTCTCTTATCTCCCAGAGCTTGACCCAGTGCTTGACTGTGTTTCTCTTCATCAGTTACTGGATAAAGGCTCTTTGATTACAACTAGAGTATTCACCAATCTGATTACAGGAGAAGTCAAGTTTTGCCACCCTCTCCACTATTGCCAGGAGTCTTAGTTAGTGTCATCTTTGTGGATTCCTGGGAGTTTCCCTGGTATCAGGTTTCTTCCCAACCCCAAAAAGAACCCCTCTATCGAGATATCTCTTTCATTACTCTCTCTTTTCTTTTCCCAACTTGACCAGCCCCATCCCTCATGGTCCAATTCTTCATCCCCTACGGCCCCCAATTGACCCAGGTGATCTCATTTTTATTTCTCCTTCCCAGTAATATGGAATGGCCACTAAGAGCAGAAGCAGCAGTGGAGAGGAGCAATCTGGAGCCTAGAATAAGCTAGATGTGCTGCAGAGGACAGAGCAGAAGAATCCATGCCCTGCTGGGGAGCCTAGAAAATCGTGAGTGAATCCCAGACATTAGATACTGAGTTATTTATAGTTGCAATTTGGTTTGGTTTGGTTCAGATTATGACTGTGCCCTGGGTGTTCCCTCTTGGAATGAGAAAATATTGAACTTGTTTCTCATTTTATAAAATCCCTTAGTTGACAGACATTAGATTTTTAAAAGATTGGATTTTTCAAGAGACTGGATATTTTAAAGAAACTGAAATTTTAATGTGTTTGAAATTTGTAAAAAATGTGGAACTTTTTACTTTTGTAAAATGTTTTAGATTGCAACGTCTATGTCAATGTATAATCTTGGAAACGAAAAAAAAAAGAAAGGTTGTAACTTTAGCAGTGAAGTAATTTTGTATTGGGTTGACAAGGGGTCAGTTGTGCTGGCTGCTTTATGTCAACTTGATGTAAACTAGAGTCTTCTGAAAGAAGGAGCCTCACTTGAAAAATGTCTCCATCAGATAAGACTGTGAGTAAAGCTTAGGGAGTTTTCTTACTTAGTGATTGATATAAGAGCGATCGGTCTACCCTGATTGGGGCCACTCTCGGGCTTGGGGTCCTGGATCCTATAAGAAAGCAGGCTGAACAAGTCAGTAAGCAGCACTCTTCTATGTAATCTACATCACCTCCTCACCTCTAGGTTCCTGCCCTGTCCTAACATCCTCGAATAATGGACCACAATGTGAAAGTGTAAGCCAAATAGACCCCTTCTTCCTCAACTTGCTTCTGATAATGGTGTTTCATTGCAGCAACAGAAACCATAAGTAAGACTATTCTTGACATCTGTCCAGCTATCAATCCTTTATTCAGTAACTAATTACTGAATATTTGCTCTGTGCTAGGAATCATGTTAAATCTTTCGGTTACATAAAGGAACTTTGTTGTACTGATTGCCAAAAAAAAAAAAAAACTACATAACACAGCAGATGCACCTGTTAATCATAAGAATAATATAAAAGGGTGGATTAGCTGCTGCAAAATCGAGGTCTTCCTTGCTAAGAAGAGTTTTGTGACACTGTGTGGCAGAGAGCAGAAATCTTTCCCAGAGGAAGTGACATTTAAACAGATGCATTGATTTTGAGTGAGGTGAGCAAGGCCAATGTTAAGACAATTCCAGTCAGACAGAACAGACTACGCAAAAGCCCTAGGTCTTAGGGTTACACCACAGACTGAAGGAGCCACAGAGAGGTGGTCACTCACCCCTGTGACCACAGAAGTGTGGAGGAGAGCATCTCAAAGGTCAAGGACAAAACACACACTGGTTAGCATGCCTAGAGTGTCTAAAGCTGACCAGCTCAGTTTAGTTACTTTGGGGGTGTCAGGAGTCTCTGCCTAACTCTGTTGCCTTTCTGTCTTTGTACTGAGCGAGGATGTGAAAGGTGCCCTCCTTGTATCTTGAAAACCTCATCTTCTGCACAGCAGGGGTCCTCAAGGCACCCCCACTGGCATTTGAAGAGCAGTACTGACTGTGTCTTGTGAAGAGTCATATCTGAGCAGGGAGAGTTATTTCTGTGTCAGCTCCTCAGATCACAGGCAGCTGGACTTCCAGGATCTTCCAGGCCTGCTCAGGTCATCACGTAGCTTATGAAAGGCAGAGGAACTCACCCAGCTACAAGCACTAGCATGGACTAACTAGACGATATGCTGTAAGCTACTTTGAAACATGAGGATGTCTTTTCCTCTCTTTGGAGCTCTTTACAACACTGAGCCTACTGTTGACAGTCCCACCGAGTCTCCTATCAAAGAACAGCAGAGAGGTATGATTTCCTGCGCCATTCAGTCATCCCATTTCCCTGAAACTCATTTCACTATGAAATGACAGGGTCACATAAATCTTGTATACGTTCCTCACTTACATAGAGTTGAAATTCTTTTAGCAGCATTTTTTTTGTTTGTGTACAGAACAGCTATGCTACTTTTGAAAGAGTAATTAGCAACCGTGTATTGTTGGAACTATTGCCTACATGACTAATTTCATCAATTAAAAAAAAAAAAACGCCGACTGATTCCACTTATCCATAAAGAACACTCCTAAGTGCTAGAGATGCAATGGAAAGAGACCCTTCAAATTCCTAACCATGTAGCTCAGAAAAGAAACTCAGGCATAGGAGAGGGCCAGAGAGATGGCTCTTTGAGAATGATTGCTGTTGTCAAGTCTTATGATTGTGATTCAATCTCTGGCCTTGCATGGTGGAAGGAGGGAACTGACTCCTGACTCTTTCCTCTACCTATGTGTCACTGAACGCACATACTAGCACTCATACACTTACATAGAGATCCACACGCTAAATACCTAAATTAAATGCAAAATCAAAATAAGATAAAAAGAAACAGCACAGAACAGATGAAACAGGAATAAAAGAAGAAACATGGGAGTAAGGAGAAGGGGGAGAAAGAGACTGCTGGCAATTTAATTAGTGAAGAAATTCAAAGTGTTTGTGTTAAACACCCTTGGAACATTTTCTGACCAACAGTTGCCATGTGGTACTCAACTGCAAGACTCTTAAAACAACCTGGTACTTTTTAAAAAATGGAAAGGTTTCTGATTGACAACTCTGGAAGGATTCAGTTCTCTCTCTCTCTCTCTCTCTCTCTCTCTCTCTCTCTCTCTCTCTCTCTGTCTCTTTCATGTGTGCTTCCATTTCTTTTTCTGTCCCACAGCATTTCATCCTTGAGATCTCCAGATCTTCACCTAACTTGAGTTCCTTAAAGTGCATTCATCATAAGAAAGTTACAGTAACTAACTGACTTCTAATGAAAGTAAAAACTTCCAATCACTTCATGTCAAAGCCTAAAGCTAGACATAGCACCCTGCTTGCTGCTTTTCTGGATAGGAAAGTTCACAGACTCCATGAGACTCAAGGAGATAGTATGAAGGCCCACCTTTCAAGGGAAGAAGTGTGAATATGTAAGCAGTCATATGTAAACAGCTACAGGGTCTGTGACAGAGTATGGAGTAATCGAGAATGACTTTTCTCAGGAGATGATGACAACTGAGTGCAAAATGTCAAAAAGGAACTTAAATGTTAGTCCCCTGAGAGCAGACCATACTGGACCAAGGGACTTACAAGTATGTGACTCATAAAAGACTGCTATATGTGAGAAAAGGGTGACTGTGTGGGTGGCTAAAACTTACTGACCCAGAAACTGACTTTAAGGAGTAGGGTGAGAAACAAAGAATCAATTAATCCCGAGCATGAATTTGAATGCTATCCTTAGTGTGAAAGATAACACTGGAAGTTTTTGAAAATACAATGAATGAACTATTAAATATTTTAGGACCACAGAAGCTCATAAGCAGCACTTGGTCTAGACACAGAGAGGTAAATGTACTCATGTAATCTTGGCAGCATGGTTCCTCATAAGCCTTACAAAATGACAATACTATTCAGCATGCCAATCTTGATGAGTGTAGAAGGAACAGTGGGCTACATTCCTGCCACTCGTCTCCTGGGTGCCTGGCTAGCTTATGCCCCGAAATAACAACACACAAATTGTATTATTTTAAACACTGCTTGGCCCATTAGTTTCAGCCTCTTATTGGCTAATTCTCACATCTTGCTTTAACCAATATTTAGTAATCTGTGTGGCACCATGAGGTGGTAGCTTACTGGGAAAGATCTTAACCTGCATCCATCTCAGAGAGGAGAGCTATAGCGACTGCCTCACTTCCCTTCTTCCCAGAATTCTATTTGGTCTACTCTACCTATCTAAACTTCTGCCCTATCAAGCCAAGCAGTTTTGTTTATTAATTAACCAATGAAAGCAACAGATAGATAGAAGACACTCCCACTTCAGATGAGGGAAATCTTACATGTCTTACTCCTAGATGAGAAGCTAAAGGTAATCAATGATTCCCAAGAGAAGGGAATCAGTTTTCTGTAGGGATGAGATTCCTGATAGATTTTTCTGGTCAATCCTCAACACATGTACATGTGAGTAACATTAAATAGACTCCATAGGTATTTGTGTGTGTATGTGTAACAATAATAATTATTTGCATATTGTAAAAAGTTATGCATATATAGTTATACATCTATATAGATTGTGTAAAAGTAATAAAGACGTCATGAATTTAAGAGAGAGTAGAGGAGCATGGGTGAAGTCAGATGGGGATGTGTGGAAATGAGATAAATACAGTACTCAAGTATGAAATTCTTAAAAATATAAAAAAAATTTAAAAAAAACCAGCAGATAGAGGAGCAGCAAGGGTACTATAGTGATAATTAAAGTTTGAGTAGAGATAGACCCACATAAACATTCAACTCTGTATAGAGATTATCAAATATGTATGCATATATATATATACAAATACAGAAATATATACACACAAGAAATATAGCTTAAGCTACATAGAAAATAGTCTATAGATAAAGATCAAGATAACATTAAGACAAACATCTTGATTTGGACAGAAGTAGATGTTCCAGGAAAAGATATAGATACATTTGAAATGGAGGCAACACAATCTGCTAATGGGTTAGGTAAGAGACTATGGATGATATCAGCAATTGGATGTTTGAAGGGTTGGGGCTTCATGGGAAGGTTGGGAGTTGCTCCGCTAGAGGAGAACAGACTCGGGAATAGCCCTTAATTCTGCACTACCTCTAAGGGAATACATCATCTCTATGGGTACCTGCTGATATTTTATCCCATCACCCCATGGACACCTTCCCTTGCCTCTTCCTTTCATCTTAGCATTCCTTACTCCTGCACTGTTATGTTGGGAGAGGATTTGTAGTAATTGGAGCAAGGAAGAACTGTGCTTAACCCAGGTGACTGCCAAGTACAAGATGTATGCTGCAGGCAAATTATTTCACTTCTTGAAGCTTCTGTTATTCAACTTCAAGTAAATAGCATGGCGTAGACTTCAAGGGCTGCTATGAAAATGAAAAAGCATAAAATGTATGATATATACTTAATATTATATCTAGAAACCAACATGGTTCATGTGATTCTCAAGTGTCTCAAACCTTGCTTGTTCTTCAAGATCCAGTCTTTCT